TTGGTGCGTGTGGCCTCCAACCTACGAACCCAGTCTCGAAACAGTTTCGTCAGTTCACTTCCGAAGTTGAAAGGGTGTACTACAGATATTATTTTTGGTCCTCTTTATTTATTTGCTTTATTGGTGAATAAAAAATTCTAAGCTTTCTACCTTGCTCCTTACCAAGAGAAGGAAATGAGTATTTGCTGTTTATAACAAGGAAGGGACCAATGAATACGTCCGGGAGGTGCTGATCGAAGATTAAAATATTATTCTTGAACGGCGCTGATAACACAATTCTTGCTTTTGCCTTAAAAACTTTCGATGTATTTGAATTAAATTTCATTTTCGGAATTATTTCTTTGTTTTTATTTTATTTTCCTGATCCAAGCAAATCGTCAACTTTAATTGTCGAGCTCTAGTTGCCTCAGTGCCCTTCTTCAGTTTTGGCGACGAGAACTTCGTCTCAGATGTCCTCCGGCGGCTCCAGTTTGAGGTGTTTCAACCCGGAGACGTCATTATAAAGCAGGGCACTTGTGGAACTAAAATGTACTTCGTCCAGGAAGGTACGGCCAACGTCCTCGACAGGGACGGTTCCATTGTGGATACCTACTCTGACGGCACTTACTTTGGGGGTAAGCCACTTAATGCTGGACTCATTAAGATAGGTTGCATCAAAGCTACATGAAAATCGTATTACTAGTTAACAGCTTTAAGTTTATAATTGCATGCATAACCTTTCAGCGAAACTGGGGTGTATGTGGGCTGTTCAGCGACGTTAAAAAAAGTGGGTATGATCTGTTAGATTTTTTAATTCCATGTGTACACTGTATATTGGTTGTCTGCTGTTTTTATCGGAGCATCTGAACTAGAATTTTACTGTGAAGGCCTATTTTACTACATGTTAAAAAAAGAACTTGGTACGTCATCAATGTCCTTTTTGTCAAATAAAATCTTGAAGAATATACTTAAAGAAATCATGGATAAATCGCAGATACTGTAATAACCTATCTCATGCAACCTCGTGATCGAAAAATCAGTTCGGAATTTAGCTTAAATTTGGCCTTGTTGTTTCGATTTGGACTTCAGATACAAAAGGCCTTTTACTAATGTACACTAAATTTTCAAGCCAGCTTCTATTGTGGACGTTTATTTTTCTTTACAATCGATTTTACTGTTTAAGTGACTTTACAGACAAGATGCAGACGGTCATCTTCATAAGAAATTATATCAAAAAAACTTATGCCTTTGGTCTGGGTGGGCTATTAAAACTGAGCCGCAATTCTGTCTCCCTTATTAAGCATGTAAATCATATACAGTTCTCACCGTTGATGGTGCAATATCGGCAAGTCTGCACGAAAAACGTTCTAGCTCGCAATGCATTCATCTAAAGTACCCGCAAGTTATACTGCGTGAAAG